GTCTGGCTAGGAGCACAGTTTAATTTCTGTAGCAGTTAATCTTTCATTAGCAGACTTGGGTTTTATTTGGCCCAATTTTTTCCCTGAACCTATACCATTTATAAATGCTAATGAATGAAGAACTAAATAAATGATTTTATGCTCTAATAGTCCTTTTTACCCCTCAGCATTTGTTCCTTACTTTATTCTATCACCCTCACAGCAACTATTCTTTATTTTTTATTCTTTATTTTTTGGTTGACAGTCCATACTGAAAATTTGATATATAATTATTGGTGACACTCTTTAAGAAATTAAGAGATCAAAAAACCACAGAAACAAATCAGTGATGATCACAGCACAGTCACCATTCCGGTCTAACAATGTATTTTATTGTCTTTAAAAGCAGCCACTGCTCACTTACACCCTTCAGTGCTATATTGTTGTTGTAGTAAGAGCCATCTACTGCTCCAGTTTCAATAAAGCTGTTGTTGAAAAATGCGGTAGTGTTCTGAAATTATGGGTGATTAGAAAAATATTAAGTTTCCTATTATACAGTAGTCTCCCCTTATCTGTGGTTTTGTTTCCCACAGTTTCAGTTACCCATAGTCAACTGCAGTCTGAAAATATTAAATGGACAATTCCAGAAATAAACAATTCATAAGCTTTAAATTGTGTGCCACTCTGAGTAGCGTGATGAAATCTCATCAGATCAACTGCCACAGTGCTTGTGTTCAACTAACCTTTATTTTAATTCTTTGGATATGCCAAAGAGAAGCTGTAATGTAAAAGGGTAAAAGCTCTCGACTTACTAAGGAAAGAAAAAAAGCACATCCTGAGGTTTGCTAAGATCTACAGTAAGAATAAAAGAATAAATCTTTTATCCATGAAGTTCTAAAAAGGAAAAATAATTGATGCTAACTTTGCTGTCACACATCAAACTGTAAAAGTTACAGCCAGAGAACATGATAAGTGCTTAATTAAAATGAAAAAGGCATTATTAAATTTGTGGATGGAAGACATAAACAGAAATGTGTTCTGACTGACAGCAATCAGATTTGTTACTATCCATGGTTTCATTGGCATCCACTGGTGGTCTTGGGATGTATCCCACTTTAAATAGTAACGTGTGCATATTGTCAACATTTTGGGAACTATGAAAAATTGCCATTAAAAAAAAACCAATCCATAATCCTGCCACCAAAGTAATGTTTCCCAGTCTTCACACTGCATACCTGTCAAGTCAGGATGAGAGCAGGTGCAGCTCAAGTATGTCTCATTAGCACACTTGCTTGTACAACTATTCATGACAAGGATGGCATAGGTCTAGAATGTGAGAAAGAACAGTGAAGATATAAGACCTTTCTAATCAACAGTAGATGTTTAAGCAATTCCCAGGTGGGGACCAGTGCAGCCATCAAGGAATTCAGTCCTGGGTTCAAGGCTATGCTCTGCCACCTAATAGTTGTAATTTTGAGTGTCACTTAACCTTTTGAGCCCATTTCCTCCTTCATAAACTCAATTTATAACAGTACCTTCCTCTCAAGGTGCTTAGGACTATTAATATGATCCACAAAGTAGTTAATGCTGCCTGGCCTGCAGCAGCTTTTATTAATGTTAGGTTTTAATATATGTACAAATATAGTGTATTAAGAGTTTAAAATAACAGCTATCGTTTATTGAGCCCTTAGAGTCCTAAAAGCCTTGCATGAAATACTTCATGCAACCCTTTCAATAAGTTGTTACCCCATTTTTTACAGATGAGAAAACTAACATTTAGAGGGAGGGGCTAAATGACTTGCCCAAGGCCACATAAGAAGGTGAAATCAGGCTTTGAACTCAGGAAACCTGACCTCTGCTCACTCTTAACTCTATAATAACCTCTCAGGTAGCACATATTAAATGTGAACATGCTAATTTTTTAATATTTAGCACCCCTAAGTGAGTATGGTTGTTTATTTATTTCTTTAGAGATAGGGTCTCACTCTGTCACCCAAGCCACAGTGCAGTGGTGCGATCATAGCTCACTGCAGCCTCCAACTACTGGGGTCAAGCAATCCTTCGTCTCTGCCTCCTAAGTAGTTAGGACTACAGGCACACTGGCTAATTTTTTAAATTTTTTGTAGAGATGAGGTAGCTATGTTTCCAAGGCTAGTCTTGAACTCCTAGCCTCAAGTGATCTCCTTCTTTGGCCTCCCTAGTTGCTGGTATTACAGGTATGAGCCACTGCATCTGGCTGAGTTGGCTTTTTAAAGTTAGAATATTGCATATAGTTTTCAAAATATAATGCAAATATTTGGCCTTGTCTTAAATTGTCATAAAATGCTAGGTTCCCCAGAATATAGTTTGAAAATTCCTAAGGCAGCTCACTCTTGAGCAGTTCTAATGGCGAGAAAGTTCCTTCCTATATTAAAGTTGACCCAAGCCGGACTCGGTGGCTTAGCCTGTAATCCCGTGCCTTTGGGAGGCTGAGGTGAGTGGATTGCCTGAGCCCACAGGTTCGAGACCCGCCTGGGCAGCGAGACCTCATCTCTACAATAAATCAAAAAAATGAGCCGGGCGTGGTAGCACATGCTTGTAATTCCGGCTACTCGGAAGGCTGAGGCGGAAGGATCACTGGAGCCCAGCAGGTCAAGGCTGCAATGGCTGGAAACGGCCACTACACTCCAGTCTGGGCGACAGAGTGAGACCCCAACTCAAAAAAATAAAAAATAAAAAAAATAAAGTTGACCCTTTCTCCTTTTTTTAATCTATCCTAATTCCAACATTTGGAGCCAAATAAAAGAAGTCTCACTTCTCTTCCACATTGCTGATTTTCAAAATGCAAGTTATAGCATATGTAGTCTTTTGTGAAGTTTTAGTCTAGCATGTATATGTGTTGCGACAATATAAAATGCATTTCTTACCATGGGTAACAGTAAGAATGTTTGAAAGCCACTGTTCTATATTACTATTCTTGGAGAATTTGAAGGCAGCTGTCATATTCCACCACCTAAAAACTAATCCTCTTCTCTACATGGGATGTCTTTGGCTTCTGCAATACCTCCTTGTAGCCTGAGGGTTCCGACTATGGGCCTGTCACCAGATTCACCTGGGTCTCTGCTCAAATCTTCTTAGAAGTGACTTCCCTGACCACCTTCTCTTAAGAAGCACTACCCCACCTCTCTCTAGTCCCTTACCCCGCTTTATCTTTATCTTTTTTTTTTTTTTTTTTTGAGTCAAAGTCCCACTCTGTCATCCAGGCTGGAGTGCAATGGCACACTCACAGCTACCGCAGCCTCAGCATGCTGGGCTCAGGGGATCCTTCTGTCTCAGACTTCCAAGTAGCTGGAACTACAGGCATGCGCTACCACGCCTGGCTAATTTTTTGATTTATTGTAGAGACGAGGTCTCACCAAGTTGCCCAGGCTGGTCTTGAACCCCTAGAGCTCAGGCAATCCTCTCACCTCAGCCTCCCAAAGTCCTTGGGATTACAGGCTTGAGCCACTGTGCCCGGCCTTGCTTTATCTTTTTCAAAGCACTCTTTCACTACCTAACATCATACTGTATATTTATTACTTTATTTATGATCTTCTCTGATAGAAAGTTCAGCAGTAGTTGCTCAATAAATATTTGTGGAATGACTACTAGAGGTAGACACAAGCATGCTGACATCCTACCATCTCTGTTTTTGAAAAAAAAAAATGCTACAATATTATTACATAATTTATAAATTTATATTATGGTATTATCCCATATTTATACATATTACTGTAGAATATATAAATATATATTAAATCATGTATACTGTTACTTTATATGGCATTTTATGGGATGCGCATGGGTCGTTTTGACTATAAGCGGTTTTTATCTGTTCATTTATAATGCTATCGTGCATCTTGGAAGCAGTTACATTTTTCAAAGTACTCTCAGGGAAATAACCCATTAGATATTTTTCTTAGGCTGAGAAAGAGTGCCAGAGAGCTGGAAGGCCGGCTAGTGACCGCGAGATTCCAATCTCACCCTTTCATTTTGCAGATGGGTACATCGAGGCCCAGAGCAGGGAAGACGTTTGCCGAGGGACACCCGCTGAGCTGGGTGTGGAGTTCAGCTCTTCGCCATCTACCCACCGCCCGGTCCCGGAGCCCCCAAACGTTCGTGCACTCGCGGAGGCCGAGCCAGAGGAGGCGCAGGTAGAAGGCGGTGGAGGAGGCGGCAGGAGAAGGCGCGCCGCCGCGGCCACCACGCTTCAGGTCGGGGACACTCCCCACGGAGGGCGCTTCTTCCCGCCCTCGGGCACCACCTAGCTCTGCCCGGAGTGCCGCGCGCACCCTGAGGCCGGGGTCTCGGTGGACGTCCCATCGGGTGCGCCGTGTCCTCCTCCCCACGACCTCAGGGCCCAGTCCCCGGCGAAACTGCCTCCTACCTCGTCGGGTCCCGAGGCGGAATCTGGCCCGCCCACCCTCCCCGTCGCCCTGGCAACCACGGGCCTAACATTCCGGAGTCCGCTTTCAGACCGCCGCCGAGTAACTCTAGCCAATGGTGTCCTCTGTTTCTTTAGCCTGAAAAGTTGTTGACCAATCGCTAGAGGCGTTTCAAAGTCCGCAGGGATGCTGCCAGAATTTTAGGGTTTAGGTTAGGTTAATTACGTCAGGACCCGTGGGGGAACTGACAGGGATTCATCTGGGCGACTTTTCAAACACCTTGTGATAGAGCAAAAGCCTGCAAATTTGGCTTGCACAAAAATCCTACTTCGGGAAATAAACCTAAGAGAATTAACAGGCATGCGAGCTCTGTTTTTATAAGAGCAAATAAAAACAAAAAGATGGATGTGGATAACTATACGAGGACAGCTACTTAGTAATCTATGAGCCCCTCCTAACACGCTTCAGAGCGGTCACGGTGACCTTGTCACTCCCCTGCATAAAGCCCTTCAATGACTCTCTTTACATTTAGGATGAAATCCAAACATCTTATCATAAGCGGTCCCTGGCCTGTTTCTCTGATCGCAGCCCCAACTACGCCCCAGAAAACTCTCTCACCAGCTCCGCTGACCTTTGGGCAGTTCCTCTATTATAATATACCAACTAGTTCCTCTCTCAAGGGTTCCCTATGAGCTCTCTCGGCCCCAGGATCTGAACCCATAACTGCCTCTTCTCCATTGCTGAGATCTCGGCCAAAATGACGTTTCTTCATCTGTAAAACCGGCATGTCTCACTCCTTGCTGTGGGGATCTAAAAGGAAATACGTGTACATGAAAATGTGCAAGTGATGAAAATCTTATTGTCACCTGTAAGCTCGATGCGAACACTAACGATCACAGCTGTACATTATGGAAACACTAATCAAGTGCTGGGCTCATTGTAGGACCTTCAGTATTGCTGGGAGTTTCGGTACCCAGCACAGCCAACAGGTGTTCCAGGAGGGCAGGAAAGGAGAGAGACGTGCGACGGCTTTGGGGGAACCGGGTCTTGAAGGATGTTTAGGATTTTGAATAACTGGTGACAGCGTGGGGTGGGAGAACCGCAGGAGCAAGGCTGGGGAGGTTGCTATGGGGATAAGGAGGGAGGACACCAGACGGTCCGCTAAAGCTGGGCCCACCTGTCAGGCAGGTGGAGGTGAGCGAGGACCTGAGCTCTCTGGCGTTCTTCCTGTGGCCGCTAGAGGGGACCCCTCCAGGTGAGCACTGGAGCTCCGGCCGCAGGTCGCTCCCCTGCGCTTCAAGCAAGCTTTGCGGCGCAGCTAACCACCGGGGCATGTCCCGCCCACACTCCCCGCGCAGCCAGTCGCCTGCGCGAGATGCCTGCCAGTTTCTGACTGGCAGCCATCCCGACAAATCAGATCGCAGCCTTTGAAAGCAAAACACTGCGGCGTCCTGGCCGCTTTGAGTTGGGAAGGAATGAAGGAGGCTGTGCCTCCGGGTTGCACTAAGAGTCCGAGTCATTTCTCAGAACCCTGTGATAGGTGGACCTTAGAGGAGACGCCGCCGGTGAGTCGTGATTAAGACTGGGGGGAAGGGACTGGATTTAGCCTTCGTATTTTCAGGAAAAGCGAATGCGTTTGTCCTCTAATGTCCCCTAGGATAAATACTCGTCCTTCTTGCTGTCACCAACCTTGCCAGTTTAGGTCCCCTTTGCTTCAGAATGTTCTTTCCATTTTATTACATCGAGGGCGAGAGGAGAGGGGGCATGGACTTGCCTTAACAAAGGTGATGCCAGACTTCACCAAACCAGGAAGTGAAATGGATTCACTTCGCCAAAATTACCTCTCTCCGTGCCGGCCCCGGCTTCCTGGCGATGGCAGATGGGGGAGTTAGCAGGTGGAATGAGGTGAGGCGTTCTTGGTCTACCCAGCTGCTGGATCACAGGTGCTGTCTCCTCGAGTTGTAGTTTCCAGCTCAATGGGAGGGGATGGAAGAGTGTGACCCTTTCTGAGCCAAAGCCCAGGAAAGGGAAAGCTTGGCATGTCGCTGGAACTCACCGCCAGAAGCCGAATCGTCAGGCCGTGGGAAAGAGCGTGTTTTATTGATTTGTTCTGATAGAGCCGAATTCTATTACCCTATCCTGAGCAGTCTCCAGCCACAGTTCTCTCATCTGTAAAACACTCTGGAGTTGGTGAAATAATTCATCAAGATAAGGGCTGGAGGTGGGTGTGGAAGCAAGGACCTAGTGAATTCTCTTGCCTTTCTTAGGTCAGTGATCACATGCACTATGGGGTGGCTGGCAACACGGAATTGACTGCTTGCCTCTTGGGCATATGCTCGTTCTGGAAAAGTGCTTTGAAGTCAGGAAAAGAGAGTCTCCAGGCAAAGAATGTGTGCCTTATAAGGGAGTATAGCTTGCAAAAGGTTCCTGGGAAGCTTTCCAAACACTCACCCAGCTGAGGGAGAGCCTTCGATCTTTGCAGACAATGCCTCAGAGGTCTGGGGGTCCCTGGGGCAGAGAGGGAACCTACTTTTTAAAAGCAAATCAAACCACAGCAATACCAACCACCACAAACAAACGCAAAACCAGCAAGCCACCTGGACCAGCAAGCCACCTGGACAAACCGGCTGGTCTAAAGGAGCAAGGAGATTCAGAGACCTGGATTCCCACTATCCCCTGGGCATGTCCTTAAAGGCATGTTTGCTTTCTCGGACCTCCTGTGGGTGGGGCTGGGTATATCTATTTATTGTAGCTCTGGAATTGTGGTTGATTAGGCCTGAGTAAGGCATTCTTGACCATGAAATGACCACAGCATACCATCATGCTTAACAGGCCTGCATTTAGTTAATCAGTGGGTATGCCTGGAAGTCACTGTGCTAGGCTCTGGGCTAGATGTCAGGAGGGAGTGGCTGAACAGGGGATTCAGGAAACACCTGACTGGAGTTTCGCTTTCCAGTGCCCCTTCAACTCCATGAATGTTTCGTGGTTGAATGCTTCTGAGGCCTCTCAGAGAAACAGCCCTGGGCCACTCTTAAAGCTCTCATTATTATTTAACATTCTAAAACAGGGATGCAGAATTTAGCACAATCATGCTTTTCACACTCACAAAAGTACAGTGATGAGTAATTATGCCTTTCACAAGATTGTAAATGCATAGTCCTAAGGTTTTACCGGAGGGGAAGTCTGGTATGGGATGCAGGTTACCTGACAAAGTTACATACATACATCTCATGTATGACTGCTGAATGTATAGCCTCATATGGAGGTAGCAGCAATAATTTGATTTTGAGGCCCTTTGACAAAATGAAACCTGGGTTAGATGATTTCCACAGCTGCCTCTGTGCTAAGCCTGCATCCGACGTCTCCTCGGCCTGGACATGGTGTTCGCCCTGTGACTTAGGCATATGTATTCACCCGGGGACCAAAATTCCTGGGCCTAGGGCCAGATAGCAAAAGGAAGCTACAGGATGGATGCATAGGAAGCAGCTCTCTAGAGCCTCAGGGCATAGCAGAGACTGTGTCTGTTTAGTTCACAGTGTGCCCTCAATAAATAGGTGTTGGATGAATGCATGGGAGAAAGAAAGGCAAATGGGCAAATTAAATAATTAACAGGTGAGAATAAAATTAATCCTAATAGCAGCTGACAGTTATTGACCTTTTGCTGTGCCTGCATTTTACATGCATTCTTTCATCAAATTCTCATAATAGCCCTATGGGGAGTAGGAACAATATTCATATTTCACAGCTGGGGAAACTGGCTAAAAGGTTAAATAACCTGGCCAAGGTAAAACAGGCAGTAAATGCAGATCAAAACAGTTTTAAACATTTTTTATATTAAAGTAAATATAGACTATGTAGTAAAATACATTTATATATATGAAGACTTCAAAGAAACCCTTAACACTTGTGGTAGGGTTTTGGCCATGCCTCCTGGAACACCAGGGGCATACTTTCTTCTTTATTTGGTAGAAAAGTTTGAGAAGCACTGAAAATAGAAGTCCAATGAAGTTAACAGGGATTGCCATCATGGCTGGTTTTCATACCACATTATTAGCTCCACTTTACAGATGAGGCAACTGGATCTCTGAGGCAAAGTGCTCTTGTCCCATGGATTTTCCACCTCCTAGTCCGGTGTCACCCCACCCATGCCAGGCTGACCCTTGGTAGCTGGCCAGTATCTCCAACTTCACAGCAATAGCTTTTTTTTTTTCCTTCGAGTCGGAGTCTCACTCTGTCGCTCAGGCTGGAGTGCAGTGGCACACTCACAGCCACCCCAGCCTTGACCTGCTGAGCTCCAGTGATCCTTCTCCCTCAGCCCTCCAAGTAGCTGGAACTACAGGCACATGCCACCACGCCCGGCTAGTTTTTAAAAAATTTATTGTAGAGATGAGGTCTCACCAAGTTGCCCAGGCTGGCCTGGAGCCCCTGGACTCAAGCAATCCTCTCACCTTGGCCTCCTAAAGTGCTGGAATTACAGGCTTGAGCCACCTTGCCTGACCGGCAATAACTTTTCTTCTCATTCTTTCCTTCCTAAATTGGATCCCAAATAGTTCCCTTTTTACAGTCATGGGATTTTTTCTTCCGGAGGCCTAGAGAAGTAGATGTGAGTACTATTCTACTTCTTGGGCTCAAGAGCCTGTGGAAAAAGGAGGATTTCAATTAGGTATGATGGGAGGAAAGAAACAGAGTGGGAGAGGAGGAGGATGTGGAAGGGCCAGGGAGAAAGCTTTGGAGGTCGATGAGTCATGTTTGTCTTTATTAAGGGGGCCAAAGGCATGACAGATTTTTTTTTTTTTTTTAAGTTGAAGTCTCACTCTGTCACCCAGGCTGGAGTGCACACTCACGGCCACCGCAATCTCAACCTGCTGGACTCAGGCAATCCTTCTGCCTCTGCCTTCCAAGTTGCTGAGACTACAGGCACCACACCATCATGCCCTGCTAACTTTTTGATTTATTATAGAAACTGGGTCTTGCCAAGTTGCCCAGGCTGGTCTCAAATCCCTAGGCTCAGGTAATCCTCTGGCCTCCACCTCCCAAAGTGCTGGGATGACAGACATGAGCCACTATGCCCAACCTGACAGAATTGTTAAATGACCTCACTTGTCATGGCCAGTTGTGTTTTGTCTGAATCATACTCCCAGGAAACAAAGCTGTGCTCAGTGTTTCACTCTCCAGGCATTTTTAACATTCCTCTTACTACTCTAGAGCCCGGCAAGAATTGGAAAACACCCTCCTGTCTGTCTGCCTGGGAGAGACATAGAAATCGGCACGTCTCTTAATGAAACTGAGAAGAAAGCAGTGCATCAGCCATAAGTACCTCGAAGTATCTTGCATGGCTGCCAGGAGAAGGTGAACACTACAAGGAAGATGGCTTCCAGCGTGGGTCCCGCCTAGCACCGTCCAGCTGCCGAGTCAGGACCAGCGGGATGTACCACTAGATAGCCATGGATGGAGCCCCCAGCGCGGCCCTGCAGCTGCAGCAGCTGCCACCCACGAGCAGTGCCAGCGTCGTGAGCGAGGGCTCCTTCTCCTACAAGGCAAGGGCTGTTCTTGGTTTTGGAATTTCGTATTTTTCTAGCAAGAAAGCAGCACAGTGCCACATTGACTAACGTGTCCAGAGGCTGCTTGCCTCTTGCTGGCAGAAACAGGCAGGTCCTTCACACCTACAGGGGAATGTGTAATCAAAAGAAAAGAAATGCTTATTGAAATACACGAGAAAAGGAGGTAGAGAAACATCTTAAAAGGGGGCAAAAAAGAAATGCATTCCCACTCAGGAGATTTGATTTTTTAAAAATCATCTATCCCATTACTTGGAGATCATCTTTGTTTGTGTTTCAGTATATCTCTTTCCTGTCTTTTTCTGGTATTACACATGGGGGTTGTGTTGTACCTGAAGTTTTAACCTGGATTTCACTTAACCTTATTTGTGGAATATTTCCCCATGTCATTGAGTTGTGATTGAAAACACGCTTTCTGAATGACTACCCAATAATCTGTTGAGCTTGTATATCAATATTTGTTCAATAGGTCCCTTGTTGGATATTCAGGTTGTTTCTGATCTGGGGTGGCTGGAAACAATGAACATTCCAGAGTGTAAATCGTTGTGCCCATCTCTGTTTCCTTAGATATAATCATATAGGTACAATGAATAGTCAAAGGGAATGAACCTTTTTAAAAATAAGGAGCTTTTATGTCAAATTTAAATGTTTTAAACACCTATTAATGCAGCATCTGAGGACTTGGATTTATTGAAAATCTTTTTTTTTTTTGGCCCAGGCGCAGGGGCTCACACCTGTAATCCTAGCACTTTGGGAGGCTGAGATGGGAGAATCATTTGAGACCAGGAGTTCAAGACCAACCTGGGCAACATAGTAAGAACTCATTTCTAAAAAAATATAAGCCAGGCTCGGTGGCTCAGCCTGTAATCCCGTGCCTTTGGGAGGCTGAGGTGAGTGGATTGCCTGAGCCCGCGGGTTCGAGACCTGCCTGGGCAGCGAGACCTCATCTCTACA